GATACTGGAGAAATGGGCTATCAAAAAATAAGAAAAGGATTTAATGGATTGTCTACTAAAGCATATTAGTGAGAATGAAAATAAGCACCAGCTTCGCAACACTATAATAATCAATCAATCAATCATTATTATGTAAAAATTACAACATCAATATTTTACACTTCAAAAGTTAAAAAGTAACAGGGTTAATATTAATCAACCCTTTCAAAAATTTTTCCCTAAAGAATGTTTTCAATTTTATCAATATGTCTACAATAAATTAGTCCTTCTCTATTTATACAGAGTTATTTGTAAAAGGTCTCATGGGTTGCCCTCCTCCTGGTCCCATTGTTGTGGTTAACAGTTTACACAAGAACAATTATCAATTATCAAGTCTTTAGGTGACAACTTTCATCAAGAATATTATCTACTCTTGCTTTCATCAATAACTTATGCTTACACATAATGACGTATCCCCATAGTAACTGGTTGATAGTTGCTTCATTTAGTATCCCAGCAGCTGCTTCAGTGAGTGAGTCTCCCTCTCCTTTTAATACATTAACTTGAGAACCAAAAGCAGCTCCTAACACTGTCTCCATTGTAAACTGACCAAACACACTGGAGGAGAGAGAGATGTATATATATGAAAAGGCAATGGATGATGTTTTATTACTCAAAAAGATCTGAACTTTTCTTCGATTCACATATTTCAGCAAACCTCTCCTTTAATGAAGAACAGCTTCTCTCAATAAGTGGTGACATCTAACAAACAAAAAGTAAAAACAACAACAATTTTATTATTATTATTATTATTATTATTATTATTATTATTATTATTATTATTATTCGTACTAATTTCAGTTTCTTAGCAGAGAACGACGGTGTCACTATTGGTTTTATAACCCTCCATTCGTCTTTCTTTAGAAATATCAGTCCAGGGGGTAAATCATCACGTGCTATTGAGATAACAGGACTATCCTAAAAAGAAATGAAATTTTAAAAAAGATTAAACACTAACGGGTCTCTGGTTAAAGTGATCAGAGCTCTTAATGAATATTTCTCTTAGCATGTTTGGGTCAACAACAATCATCCATTTATCAGTACCAATGTACCACCTAATGCAACAAAATATAAATATTTATGAACTTATTTTGATACAAACAACAATAACTGACAATATTATTTAATCATAAAAAATTAAACATTAGTAATTGAGTTACTCCAGTAAATCATGACGTACCCAAATACTTTACCATATTTATTGATATCATTATTTAAAGCCTCAATAATACCCTAATAAAAACATTTATTAACCACACCCACCACTAATTAATAAATTACCTGTCTCAGTATTCCATTAACGTTACCAGTAAAAGGTTCCACTGGAGGATGGGCTATACCTAACCTACTGAATACCTTATAAGGAATATAATAGTGTCTGGAGGAAGAGGATCACGTGATACCAGCTAACAGGCTCTTACCTGTACCATATAAGAAAAATAAGGATTGGAATTATAAAGAAAAGAATGAGAACAGTAAGCATTTC